TCAGACACAGACAACTCAGATCTAAGTGGTGGACTTGACAAGCAACAAGCCAGGTGAGTCCAAATCTGATCCACCCTCCCTCTATGGTAACCTGGGGCATCTAACTCAAGCTATGAGCAATCCTCTCAGCCTGCCCTGAGAACTAGATATCAGGGCTGAAAGGACTTTAGACTTACAGGAATGACCTCAGAATGAGTATGGTTTCTTACTTTCATTTTTTAAAATTTTTTGTGTTTTGCTCATTTTTGTTTGTTTTTTAAGGTTTTTTTTCCCTCTCTTTCTGTTTTGGATAACATTTTCGTACTTGCTTTGTTTCTGTTATTTTACTGATTTTTTATCTTTAGACTTCCTGTTTGTGTATGGGAAGAGTACATCAATAGGGAGGTTTTTGTTGGTTTGCGTGTTTGTATGATTGTCTGTCTATTTTAGTTTTGTTGTTTTTTTTTTTTGTTTTTACTCCTTTCTGGTTTTGTGTCTCTTTTGTTAGCTGGTACGTCTGTCTGTTTTCCCTCTTACTTCTCTCTCTCCACCTTCCTCTTGCACCCCCCTCCCTTCTTTTTCCATTCTTTTTCTTACCTCATTTTGCTTTCAGGGAGCAAACCTATAACCCCCACTGTATGGATAGATTGTAAGGCAGTGGGAAGTGGGTTCCAGAGAGCCCATACACCTGTCAGTGGATACTGGGATCTGCAGATAGATTTTGAATCACAGCTCCCCCCTCAATTAAATCCAAAACTGCAAAAAGTTCAACCCCCAACACACAGTTTAGCTTCAGAAATGAACAAAGCCAGAGGATCCACATAAGGAACAATAGGAGATTGAGCAAACAGAAGTAAAAGCAACCCTGCCATCCCTGAACAACAGAATTAAAGAAGAGGAGAAAAAAAGTGGGGGGGAATCTACACAAATGAAGAAAAACCAAAAGAAGAATATGGGTCTTACACACACCTGGGAGGTCAGACACTCAGAAAACAGACTTTGGAATGAAAATAATGAAGAGTCCCCAGAATGACTGGTCTCAAACTACAAACCCAAATATCAAGACATTAATACAGAGAATAAACAGCATTGAGGAGAGACAAGAGAAAAATATTAAGGAGTTGATAACTGAGATAACAGCAGTAAATAATACTGTGAATGAAATAAATAAATAATTGATAAGCATGGAAAGCAGAATTAGCCAGGCAGAAGAAACAATCTCAGAGTTTGAGGACAAAATATAGAACTAATCCAAACTGTCAAAAACATGGAAAATAAGGTTAAAAAGACAGAAAAAAAAAACCTTCAAGAGATGAGCAATTATTTCAAGAAGCCAAACCTGAGAGTAATTGAACTTCCTGAGGCAGAAAGAGAGACAGAGACCACCCTGGAATAAATATTCCATGAAACAATCCAAGAAAACTTCCTTCATCTCATCAGTGAAGCGACCATTCAAACACAAGAGATTCAGAGAACTCCTGCAAGACAAAAATGAGAAGACCAACTCCTAGACACATAGTAATTCACCTAAACAAAGTAGGTATAAAAGAAAAAAATCCTAAAGGCAGCAACAGATACATGAAAAAATGTTCAGCCTCACTAGTCATCAAAGAAATGCAAATTAAAACTACACTGAGATACCACCTAACTCCAGTCAGAATGGCCATCATCAATAACTCAAAAAATAACAGATGCTGGAGAGGATGTGGTGAAAAGGGAACACTTCTACACTGTTGTAGGAGTGTAAACTAGTGCAACCTCTGTGGACAGCAGTGTGGTGATTTCTAAAAGCTCTAAATAGTGACTTCCCACATGATCCTGCAATCCCCCTACTGGGAATATATCCTGAAGAACTCAAATCCAGTTGAGATCATATATATGCCATGCCTTAGGAGTAAAAACCATGCATGGGACAAGGGTTATGCCCCAGGAAGAAAGAGAAAACCCTTAATGAAACTAAAACCAGCCTTTGATGAGAACAAGGTGATCTTCCAGTACTCTGATAACCATCCAGAAAAAATAATCTTCAAAAAATATCTTCAAAAGCCTTTAAAATGTTTCATCTGCAATATCTTGCATTTAATAAAAATATACAAGGCATGTAATAAAATGAGACTCAATGACCGAAAAAAAAAGAAAGAAAAAAGGAAAATAACAATACAAAAGTAATCCTGATACCAAAATTTTCTGGCAGATACTTTAAAAGTCACTGTGATCAATATGGTTAATAAATTTAAAATGGAACATTTTGCCAGAGATTTGGCATCTATTAAAAACAGAAAAATGGAAATTCCAGAACTGAAGAATATTATTTTTAAAACAATTCAACAGAAGGATCACATGACCTAAGTATAATTTCAAAATAAATAAGCAAAAGGAAAATTCAAACCCCAGTTGGAAATGTTGATATCTTAGATACATATACATCTATATATATATACATATATATATAAATTTAATATATCCAGTATAAAACCTATTTAATCGCAATAATACCAAATTGGAAATTTAATATTTCTCATGATAACTGATATAATAAGCAGACAAAAAAAGACTACAGAAGATTTGAAAAGCATGGCAATTAGTCACCTTAGCCTAGATGGCACTTATATAACACTACACTCAAAATCTACAGTGTACATACATAGTCTTTACAAAAACACATGCAAAACTTATCAAAATACACTATATATGTCATAAACCACTCTCAAATTTTCAAAGAACTGAAATAAAGAGTATACTCTCTAATTAAAAGAAATTAAAATAGAAATCAACAACATAAAGACAACAAAAAAAACCCAAAATGTTTGCAAGTAACCCATGTCTAAAAAATTATAAAATTCCATACATCAAAGAAGGAATCAAAGTGAAAATTAGAAAATATGTTGAGTACTCTAAAGTAGCCCATAACTCTAAATTTGTTAGGATATTGGTGCTGTATATTATTGGGAATTTTGCATTCTTCTGACTCAGTGTTTATTTTAAAATATAAAATGTTTTGAAATGGCATATTCTCTCAAAGATTCTCAAATCCCTTGAGAGACAAGAAAAAAAAAAATAAAGTTTGAAAAAATCCATGACTGAATAAGTATGTGGGTATGAAAAGGGAGCAGGGCACTAGAGAGATGCTCACCAAATTTCTGACATTGTTTATCTCTGGGAGAAAGAGGAGAGAAATTGATATGAAAATGTGAAGGTAAATGAGAGATCGAGAACTTTAAAAATAATTCTACACAGCTTGAATCTTGATCTCTCAATCAACTCATCTTCACCAAAGCCACCAATAACAACCACTGGGAAAAGGAGACCATATTTAGCAAATGGTGTGGGGAAACTGGCTGACCATATGCAGAAGAATGAAACTGGATCCCTACCTCTCATCATACACAAAAATCAACTCTAAATGGATCAAAGACCTAAATGTGAAACCTCAAACCATAAGAATCCTAGAAGAAAATGTAGGAAACACACTTATGCACATCAGAACAGGCAACCAACTCTTGATCAAATCCCCAAAAACAAGTGCCATAAAAGCTAAGATAGAAAAGTGGGACTTCGTCAAACTGAAAAACTTCTGCAAAGCAAAACAAGCCATCAAGAGAGTGGGGAGACAACCCACAGAATAGGAAAAAATATTTGCTAACTATGTATCTGATAAAAGCCTAAAATCCAGGATCTACAAGGAACTCAAATGTGCCAAAAGGAAAACAACAAACGGCCCCATTAAAAAGTGGGCAAAAGACATGAATAGACGTTTTTCAGAAGATATACAAGCAGCCAACAGAGACATGAAGAAATGCTGTGCCTCGGTGATCATCAGAGAAATGCAAATTAAAACTACATTGAGATACCACCTAACTCCAGCAAAGATGGCCATTGTTAATAAATAAAAAAACAACAGATGCTGGCATGGGTATGGAGAAAAGGGAATGCTTCTACACTGTTGGTAGGAGTCCAAGCTAGTTCAACCTCTATGGAAAGCAGTGTGGCAATTCCTAAAAGAACTAAAAATTGGCCTTCCTTATGATCCAGCAATCCCTCTCCTGAGAATATGCCCAGAGGAATATAAATCGTTCTACACAAAAGACACCTGCACAAACATGTTTATAGCTGTCGTATTCACAATAGTAAAAACATGGACCAACCCTATTGTCCATCAAAAGTGAACTGGATAAAGCGTGGTACAAATACACAATGGGGTACTATGCAACCATGAAGAAGAACAAAATCATGGCCTTTGCAACAACATGGATGGAGCTGGAGTCCATCATATTTAGTGATCTATCACAGACACAAAGAACTGAATACCACTTGTTATCACTCAAAAGTGGGATCTGGACATTAATCACATTAGCACAAGGGAGGGATCAACAGTCACTGGATACTGCCAAGGGAGCAGGGAGAGCACATAAAAACACAAAGGGTACCTGGTCCTAAACCAGAGGAAGTGAGGACCAGCTGGAGGCCCAAACTTCACCTGCATGCAGCCTACTTGTGTAGCTAGTCCTGACTTGTACCCCACATCTCCATAATAAAATAAAATTAAAAATAAGGCGTTCATATATGACTCGTGCAACATTTTTATTTCAAAACATGTTTTAAATAATTGGCCATTAAGTATGCATCCAGAATGAAGGTTCATGCTTGTCCTTTGCCTTTGTGTACCTGTAACACATGATCACATACCCCTGGAGTTATAGTCGCCCAGGTTTAAGAAGCTCAACCAGATACAAGGAAGACTCATATCACAAAATTGGATAATAACTTAGAAAGATATAAGCTGGTCATCTAATTTTAAAATATTACTATTTATTCAGGGTTCTATGACGGAAAGATTTTAGGTACATTTAACTCAAGCTTAACAAAGTTCATAATATTATACTTAGTAAGTTAATATCTCATTATGAGGATATCTTATAAGGGTTTACTTGGGAGGCTAATAACCAGTTAATAAGGTTATAAGTATGTCTTCACTAAATCAATTTAATAATACTATAAATTTTTTCAGAAAACCTTAATTTCTAACCTTTCAAATACGGGTTTAAATCCATTTTCACACTTTCTACAATATCCCGTACCACAACACTTTTGGAAGGTACATAAGCCAATTCCAAAGGATAAGTCAAATTTCTGATGAAAACAGGCACATCCCTGATGGGCTGAGCAGCATAATTAAAGGGTCCATTCTTCTTTATAACAATAATGCGGCGTGCTGCCAAAAGTGTAGCACCAAATATAAATGTTAGGGCCATTTCCACAACTAAAGCAATAAATCGCCGCCTCTAGAAGAAGAAAAAAGAGTTTATGTTAATGGTCCTAAAGTTCATTAACTTTGCAAATGGATAACTCTTTCATATTAAGTTAACAGAAACTTCATTAAAGAATATATAGATTGCCAAAAAGCACAGCCTCACACTATAATAGCAACAGTTTCCTGGACTGTCTTTTTTCTCTTTTCTATGTAACATTCTGCTATTACTGCACTCTGTGAGAACTCTACATTTGGAAAAGATACCCCACCCCTGGAGCTGAGAAAAGTAAAACAGGATTAATGGCAATGCAGTGGCCAAGCTGTCAGAATTTTCCCCTGTGGCCTCTGAGCTGTTGTAACAATCCTATAGATAGTTCAACTTACCTTTAAAATAAAATTCTTCCAGATAAGAATCAAAAATTTTTTGAATTCCAACAAATCCATTCTTCTAAAAAGAGTGAACGTTCAACTCTATGAAGGGAGTAAAGATTTTTTTTTTAAAGAAAGAAAATTAAGATTATCTAACAACATGCAAATCTTAGACAAGTAAATTACTTTAATGTAAACAACTTAATTTTCTAATCCAGATTTAAAGATGACAATAAGAAATAATAAGCATTTAAAATATTTGAGAAGTTGATTATCTCTATATTTTAAATTCATTCAACATCTATGGAGCTTCTAATATGAACAAAATACCAACCACAAAATACTTATAAATAAATTACTGATGCAAGCTTCCAGGTCAATTTTTTCAATAGTTTTCCCAATTCCCATAAAAATACTAACTAAGAAATATCACAAAACAAATCACCGTCATTAACAAAGCAACAAACAATATGTAAAATCTCATGGCAACTATAAGCCTGAAATGCTGCTCAACAATCTATCAAATTGCAGGTAGACATGGTGCCTCATGCCTGCAATCCCAGCACACTGGGAGGCTAAGGAAGAAGGACTGCTTGAGTCCAGGAGTTCAAGACCAGCCTAGGCAACATAGTGAGACTGAGTCTCTATCAAAAAAAATAATTAGCTGGGCATGGTAGTGCACCCCTGTTGTCCCAGCTACTTAGGGGGTTAAGGAAGAAGGACAACTGAGCACAGGAGGTCGAGGCTACAGTGAGCTGTGATCATGCCACTGCATTCCAGTGTGAGCAACAAAATGAGACTCCAACTCAGAAAAACAACAAAACAAAACAAACAAAAAACACTATCAGATTAGAAGTAACTGCCACTAATAACATTGCTAAGAAAAACAACACAATGAACTAAATATTCACATCCCCTACACTCACATGTTAAATACTAATTCCCAAGGTGATAGAATTCAGAAGTGGGAATTTAGAAAGGTGATTAGGATGAGATTAGTGCCCTTATAAAAGATGCCTCAGAAAGATCCCTCATCCCTTCCACCATGTAAGGATGCAAAGAAAAGACAGGATATCTACCTTTGAACCAAGAAATGGGCCCTCATCAGACACTGAATCTTAATCAGACACTGAATTCCTGCTCCCAGAACTGTAATAAATTTCTGGTTTTTTGTTTGTTTTTTTTTTTTGAATTGGAGTCTCACTCTATCACCCATGCTGGGGTGCAGTGGCACACTCTTGGCCACCCCAGAGTAGACCTGCTGGGCTCAGGTGATCTTTCCGCCTCAGTCTTCCAAGTAGCTGAAGCTACAGGTATACGCTACAACACCCGGCTAATTTTTTGATTGATTGTAGAGATGAGGTCTCGCCAAGTTGCCCAGGCTGTTCTCAAGTCTGTGGGCTCTGGCAGTCCTTTCACCTTGGGCACCCAAAGTGCTGGGATTACAGGCTTCAGCCACCACACCTGGCCAATTTCTGCTGTTTTAAAGGCATACAGCCAAAACAATCAGATTATGCAAGTCCTGTGTGAGTGAGTGAATGAGTGTATGACAAATTTTGTGTATATGCTGGTGAGTGAGTGGGCATGTGAGTGACTGTCTGAGTGAGGGCTAGAGAGCTAGCAGCCAGGGCTCTCCTGGTGCAGCAGCTGGTGCCGCAGTTGCTAGGCTTGGACCCTAGTGATTCCCAGGTGCAGAAGCCGAGTGTCATTTTTTTTAATCAACAAAACCCTCCCTGGGAAGAAAATGCTGGGAGAGACAGACTAAGTGGGGGCTCGTGAGCAAGTGGCCGGGACGCTGGTGCAACAGCTGGTGCTGCAGCTTCTCTGCTTGGTCCCTGGTTCTTCCCATTTTTTTTAATGGACAAAAGTTTTCCTGTGAAGAGGCAGTGGGGAGAGACTACTGCCCAAGGCTCTGCCTCACCACTGCAGCAGGAGAGACTGCTGGCTCCAGGCTTTGCCTCACCACTTCAGTGCCTGGCCAGGCACTGGTAGCGGGGGTTGTGGAGGGAGTCCAGAGGCAGAGTCCCATGAAAGAGGGCAAGAGAGACACCCCATCACCATCTTGAAGGTGGCACAGGAAAGTGTTTTGACTTGTTCACCACGGAGCCACAGACCTGATCTCTGTGACTGGTGGATCAACTACTTAGGGGTTGACCGAGACCAAGAGGGAATATCCTGAAAGCACAAACTTCGGAGGGACCTGATGAATGCTGAGTCCCAGGCACCCCACTCTCTACCCTGATCCAGCCATGGGGAAAAGGGTGTGGCCACAAAAGATGAGGAAGGACTCCAAAGAGATCAGCGGTGAGTCCAGGGCTGACCCAAAGCCCCTCCTCCCCAGCAATTCTCTGAATGTCAGAACCACACAGCTGGACCACGACTGAGAGGGACAAAACCAGGCGGAGTCTGGATGTCAGTCACAGTAGGAGAACTCCATTCCAGGATAGGCCTGGATGGGGTACCCCCACATGAGTACACACCTGGGGTAGAGACAATACCACACCTCTCCACTGAAGGAGATCTCCCTGAACATATGAGTGGGAGGGGAGAACTACAGTCCCACCCACCTCCACTCTCCTTCCTTCTTCCCTGCTACAGACACTGGGGAGAGAGTGAAAGACATGGAAGCGCTGCAGGAGAAACCAGATTAGAGGAAAAATTAAAGAGCCTGCCACAAGAGGGCAGGGTTTTTTCAAATTTTTGAAAATTTTTGCCTGTTTGTTAGTTCATCAATTTTTAAATACTTTTCCTTTGTGCATGAATGTGTATGTGAGGATTTGATCTGCCTCCCCCAATTTTTTCTTTTCTTTTTCTGTTTCCTTATACTTTTATTTGTTGTTTTCTCTTTATATGTGTATGTGAATGATTGACTGTTCATCTTTCAATTTTGTTGTTGGTGGTGGTTTTTGCTATTTTGTTCTTCTGGTTATTTTTACTTTTTATAGTTTAAGGTGTGTGTCAATATATGTGTGAGGGTTCAATCTGAATTCCTTTTTTAAAATTTTTTTCTGGTCTTTCTGTTTTTCTTCTCCATTCACTTTGTGCTAGGGGTGTGTGTGTGTGTTCAGTTTTCTTGGTTTTCTGTTATTGTTGTTTGTTTTGTTTCACTTTGTTGTTATTACAGTCTGTTTTGGGGAGTGTGTGAATGTCTGAGTGTGTGTGTGTTAAATCATTTTTTTGCATTTGGTTTCTGCTTTGCATCATCATATAGAGTGGTGGTGGGGAGTAGGTCTTGGGGGAAACATACCACAATCAGTGGACACTGTAATTTTCAAGTAGTTTCTGAGTCCTAGCGCCCCATACTCTACTTTATTTGACTTTCAAAAACTACAAGAGACAGCAAAGCTTGTCATCCACCATCCCATTTCAAAATAGAACAAACCCAGATCCCAGATCAAGGAAGAATAGAGGAATGAGCAAATATCAGAAGAGAAAGCCTCTTCCACTGATACTGAATAACAGAACTAAAGAGAAAAACAAGAGATCTGTCACAAATAAGGAAAAACTAAGGGAAGACCACAGAGGTAATTTCAAGTATAACAAAGAGAAAACTCCTGAAAAATCAGACCTCAGAGCCCAAACAATGAAAGTCACCAATGATTGGCCCCAGAAAACAGCAGGGATTAGGGAATGGATGGAAAGAGTGAATAACACTAAAGAAAGACAAGATGCAACACTTAAAGAAATTGTAACAGAGATTTTGGCAATAAAAATTTCATCCAGGAAAAATAACAAGATGACAAGCATGGAAAGCAGCATTAATCTAGCTGAAGAAAGAATGTCAGAAACTGAAGACCAGAAAAATTGAATTAACCCAATCTGTAAAAAACATAGAAAGAAGACTCAGAAAGAAAGAACAAAGCCTACAAGATGTGCAATTATATCAAGAGACTGAACCTACACCTGATTGGTATCCCAGAAGAGGAAAGGGAAATGGAGAACAACTTGGAGCAAGGATTCCAGGAGGTAATCCAAGAAAACTTTCCCCATCTCACCAGAAGTGTGACCAGCCAAGCACAAGAGATACAGAGAACCTCCACAAGACATCAGATGAGAAGACCAACCCTTAGACACATAGCAATTTGCCAACACAAAGTAGGCACAAAATAAAAAATCCTAAAGGCAGCAAGAAAGAAATATCAGACTACCTACCAAAGAAAACCAATCAGAATAGCAGCAGACCTATCAGCAGAAACACTATAAGCAAGAAGGGACTGGAGCCCTATATTTAAAGTCCTCAAAGATAAACAATTTCAACAAAGAATTTCCTATCCAGTCAACCTCATCTTCATCAGTGATGGAGAATTAAAATCCTTCCCAGACATCCAATCCCTAAGAGATTATGCAGCTTCTAGATCAGCTGTGCAGGAAACACTTAAAAAGGCATTAAGCACCAAAGAATGAAAAAATAAAGAATTATCACACACTTCCCAAGAGAACAGCAGAGCACAGAATCAACAGAGAATACAGAAACTTGAAAACACACACATACATAAACCCCAAAGCCAAAAGAAAACAAGCAAACAAAGAAAAAACTTTAGAAGAACCACACAACAGAGATCAACAATCACATTTCAATAATCAGCCTGAATGTGAATGTAATAAATGCACCATTGAAAAGACACAGAATGGCAAACTGGATAAGAAACCATGACCCTGCATCCAGGAAACTCATCTCACCAGAAGGGACGCACACAGACTCAAAGTTAAAGGATGGAAAACGAGTTTCCAAGCAAATAGATCACAAAAGAAGGCAGAAGCCATGAACTTAATATCAGACAAAACATCCCTTAAACTACCCAAAATTTAAAAAGATGCAAAAGGACACTACATAATGATAAAAGATTCAATCCATAAACAAGAAATATATATCCTAAACATATATGCACCCCACACAGGAGCACCAGTATTTATAAAGCAACTACTAAGCAAACTAAAAAAAGGTATTAACTCTAACACTGTTTATAGCAGGGGACTTGAATACTCCACTAACAGCCCTGATAGATCATTGAGCCAAAAAAATCAACAAGGAGATCCAGAACCTAAATTTGACACTCTATCAAGTGGATTTAATA